GAAATATATTTATGTTTGTGGTTGTAATGTGACAAAATATGGAAAAGTTCAAGGGGTATGAATACTTTTGCAAACCACTGTATATGGATGTGGTTGGAGAGGACATGGAGGTAGCAGGAGTGAGGACAGAGTGAGATGGAGGAGGATGACTTGCTGTGGTGAACTCTGACAAGGAACTAGCTGAAAGAAGTATGAGCAGCAACTTAATTATCTAACCTTATCTACAAAATTAAAAGCAAAATTTTGGACAGTGTAAACTAATAATAGTCTTCCACTAAACATCTGGTTTATTTCAGTCTAAAGTGACTCCAGCAGAAATTAGGGCTGAACAATATATTGATAACAGCCTGTGCAATAAGCATGTCGCTGGTCTGGCTTGGGAACCACAGGGTCTCATCTCTGCTGTATGCAGATGATGTGGTTCTGTTGGTGTCTTCAGACTAAGACCGTCAGCGTGCACTGGGGCAGTTTGCAGCTGTGTGTGAAGCAGCTGAGATGAAGGTCAGTTCCTCTAAGTCTGAGGTCATGGTTCTCAAACAGAAAAGGGTGGAATGCTCCTCCAGGTCAGGGCAGAGTCTCTGCCTCAAGTGGAGGAGTTTCAGTATCTGGGTGTCTTGTTCATGAGGGATGGTAGGATGGAGCGGGAGATGGATCGACGGATTGGGGCCTCGTTCTCATTAATGAGGGCGTTGCTTTGGTCAGTCGTGGTGAAGAAAGAGCTGAGTTGAAAGGCAAAGCTCTGGATTTACAGGTCTGTCTTCGTTCCAACCCTCACCTGTGGTCATGAGGTGTGGATCATGACCGAAAGAACGAGATCCTTGATACGAGCGGCTGAAATGAGCTTCCTTCATAGGGTGTCCGGGCTCAGCCTTAGAGAGAGGGTGAGGAGCTCCGTCATCCGGGGGGAGCTCTGAGTAGAGCCGCTGCTCCTCCACATGGAAAGAATCGGTTGAGGTGGTTCATTTGGATGCCTCCTGGACGCCTTCCTTTAGACGTGTTCCGTCCCACTGGTAGGAGGCCCTGGGGAAGACCCAGGACACGCTGGAGGGATCCTCTCTGGTCTGGGACCAGGATGAGCTGTGGAGAGAGAGGTCTGTGTTTCTCTCTTGGACCTGTTGCCTCCGCGACCCGACTACGAATAAGTGGAATATGATGAATGGATGGACGGAAGAATTCAGAGCAGACACACATCAACACTACAAACCTTATATATTTGTTTATTTATCACAAGTCATATCGTCATCGCAGTATTAAGCACCATTATCACACATGGCAGGTTTTCCTAATATAGTGCAGCCCTAGCAGAAATACAAATACAAAGAGGGGAAGTTAAGTTTCTTTTTTGTTTGTTTGTTTGTTGTTGTTGTTTGAGGAGCTAAACACACAGGAAACAGACACAGAGAAAAGTGTGGGATTATTTAACTTTCTTTCACCTTTATTGTTACATTAGATATTTGAACCTGTCGTATTCAGAACCAGGTGGTTCAGTTGATGGAGCTGTTGGCTCTCAGCGAAGGTTGTTGGGGACCTTTCTGAGTAGTTTTTTAGGCCCGACTCACAAGACCACAACAAAGAATGGGGAAACACTGCCTCAGACAAGACCGCTGCCATGACCCTGTCTGTCATCTCTGTCGTGCTCTAACTGAACTTCACCACGACGAGGGCTCAGACGCTGCAACAACTGGGCTCAGTGGGAACGGTTCAACACCTGATTGGGCAGTAAGCTGACAAACATGTCTTAATATTGGAGGAAACATCCTTTTTTTGTCTCAGGACCTGATCATAAGCTTTCCTGACACTGAGTGGCCAGACTCATCATGAACAACCTTTAAGACAGCAGACTGAATTTAATGGGCACAACTACTGTATTTGAAACACAGGATCACCCACCATCTCAACTTGAGGCAACCACTTCCTCACAACAACAAGTCCTGCAGAAAATCACCACGCACACAATCTGATATTTCACTCTGTGGGCCACCTGCTCACTGCTCTGCTGACAACTCTACAAGACAAAGACAGGAAAACCAGACACAGGCAGAGGAGCTTTTTTCACCGATATTTCCTCTTTCTCAGTCTGAGCATGGAAAGTGTAAGTAAAGTAAAGTTTTATTTATACAGCGCCTTTCACAGAAATAAATTCACAAGGTGCTGTACATTCAGGGAAGGCGGGAGGGGGCAGTTAAGACAGGTCATGCAGCAAGCACAGTTGCGCTACCTTTAGACAAACAAAACAACAGAACGGCTTGAAATACACAAAAGGAAAACTGAGTTAAAACAACCTGCGAGAGTGCAAGATAGCCTGGGGGGTGGGGGGCTTAGGTCAGATAACACATAAAGGGAGGTAAAATGGGGCGGGTTCAGAGGAGTAGGTGATGTTAAGGGAGTGGGGGTCGGTGCTAGGCCCAACCCTGGGCCCATCCAGAGTCCAGAGTCACATGATGTTATTGTCTCTATTCAATTCGCTAGAGTTCAGAGATTTTCCTCCTCCTCAGCCAGTTGAGTTCCAAGGCCAAGGCCAAGTCCAACACGGGTGGTTGATGGGGTGGGAGCAAATCCAGCTCTTAGTTGACATTTCATCCAGGGGAAATTAAGATAAGCACAGCCCTCAAGGCCGTGCCGCTGGGAGCCAGACAATATAATCCAATTGTTTTGGAAACAAAGCAGCCTTGAATTTCCTGCTGCTTTTGAAGTGTCTTTACTGCAAACTCTGAGGTGGTGAAAAAAGCAAATCAGTCGAATTTGGGGTCTTTCTCGCCTCTCACCTATTGAAGCTCACTCAGAATGTAGTCCATACATGCCGAAGCGTCGCTCCTGAGTTGTGATCCTAATAATCACATCCAGTTTGTGAAATTTTCCCCCCAGCTGAGAGTCTGTGGGCTTCCAAACTGGCAGCTCTTTAAAAGGCCTGATCCACTGTCGGGGTCGCTTTCACTTTTCAATAAATCTGGAACCCTTCTCCGCCGATCAGCAGGAATCCAGTTATCATAGTCCAATTAAATAAAGATCTTCCATGTCTTCGATGGAAAAGTGGTGGTGGCATGTTCTCTCCTTGCATGCATGGGTTTTCTTTGGATTCTCCTGTTTCCTCCCACAGATTAAAAACATAAATTAATTGGTAACTCCAACAGCTTTTTCGCTTTGTAAGCTACAGCTCCAGTTGGCCCGGCTTTATTCTACCTCGGTTCTGGTTGTGTTTGCATCAATGTGGGAAAGGAGGATCATATTAAAATCTAGTGTACAGTATTTTTGTCTCATTTGCAGTGCAACAATGGACTAAGTTAAACAAAGGGAAAGTACTGAAGGCTGTATCCATCAGTAGATTGTTTAGTTGGAACACGTGTGTAAAAATGTTAGTCGCTGCAAACAATTCAAGTGAAGTTAATCTCATCTGTGTGACTATCCCCCCACCCCTGGTCAGTGAAGAACAGTGACAGACGTCAAATCCGGCCAAGCAGCCTGGACTGAATAGAACCACGGGTCTCCGGGCTCCAGTAATTTGGCTGATATTGGACCATAAGAGCTAATGCAAAAACTCAGAACCTGGATTTGAGGCCAGGCCGGGTCTTGCAGTGCAAAAAGGCCAGACATTGTCCCTCAGTGTGAGAGAGGTGAGTGATTGTCTCGATGTGGCTGTGATGGACTGTCAGGGTGTACCTGGCTCAGTAACTGCTGGACATGGGTACCAGTGACTCCGACGTACAGATAAAGTTAACATTTAACTCTATTCACGACTTCATTTCTGCTGTTGATACCACAGCTCACCTTCACCAGTTTTCACACTTGTTCCTCATGTTTTTGTTGGACAGGATGAAAGTTGGCAGCCAACTTAGTCTGTGTAAAACAGGCTGCGAGGCCATCGTAGACACTGGAACATCTATGATCACCGGACCGGCAGCAGAGGTCCAGGCCCTGCAGAAGGCAATCGGAGCTGTTCCACTGATGCAAGGAGAGGTGAGGGGGAAAACATGACCAATTAAACACAAACACATTCATGTGTAATTTTACTGTTGGTTTGTGTAAAACGAACAGCATCAGGAAGTTGATTTTAGTGTTTTTCATGGCTGGATTTTGAATTGAAAGTTTCCTGGATGGGAAACAGAACACCTTCAACTACAAGATAGAAGTTGTTGTTTTCTTTATGTCAGGATGATTATAGAAAGATAAGTTTAAAAGAACATGTGATTGCTTTTTCAAAAAAAATTAAGACTTCAATATTTAAAAATAATTTAATTTCAAAATAATTTGCTTAGACAACCTGTGCTTTTATTAGCTTTCTGGGAATTTTCTGTGGTGAGAGAGGCTTCCCTATGCTTTTGGGTGGTCAGACAGCCTGACTGGATGTGCCTGTGTGCTAAACAACACTTGGAGTCCTGGAGCCCATAGCTGGGGGTTTGGAACGAGCTCCAGCACGTGATTAATTTGCAGACTGATCTTCTTTATGGCCTCAGACAGAGGACTTGTGTCTGCACTTGTCCTGTTAGATCTACATTTGATACAGTTGATCACAGTATTCTAACACAGATGGTTAAACATGATATAGGGATTAACAAAACAGCTACTTAAATAGGAATTAAGCACAAATCTCCTCAGTTTCAATTTAAAAGCTTTCAAAGATATTAAGTCTGTTTATTTCCAGTCATTCTGCAACATACAGTGGGGTGCGAAAGTTTGGGCAGCCTTGATAATTTTCCTGATTTACCTTTTTTAAATCATTTATTGTTTGGATTAAAAAAATCATTTAAATACAGTATATCATATAGGGGACAAACACAGTGATATTTGAGAAGTGACATGAAGTTGATGTGATTTACAGAAAGTGTGCAATAATTGGTTTATCATGTGAGTTCAAATTTTTTTTACCCAAACAATCAATGATTTATAAAGATCAATCAGGAAAATTAACAAGGCTGCCCAAATCTTCACACCCCACTGTTTTCTATTCAAACGGTGCAGAACAAACAAAAGCTTTTTTACCCACTTCTATACTGCCAAATGCAACTGAAAGTGACAAAAAGTCACTTGAACAGAACTTTTCTGTAAAATAGCATCACATGTATGAATATAGTAGTCCACATGTGTCAAATACAAGGCCCACGGGCGAAATGTGGCCCGCGGGAGACTCCCGTGTGGCCCGCCAGGGGTCCCCCCCCATTTTTTTTTTTGTACTTAGCATTTTATCAATGGTAAACTTTAATTTTAGGATTAAATGCAACAAAATTAATTTAATAAATGTAAATGAAAAAAATAAATTTAATAAATTCTTGTCCCTGAGCTGTTGGCTTTAAGTAACTGAGCAATTTAGTTGGTTAGCACAGTACTAATGTCTGAAAATAAGCTGCTTAAAGTCAGCATCAACCATAAACTAAATAATATTTCTGTATTTATTTCAGATTTATTCAGTAATACATTTAGTTCTTATCAGTGTTTAAAAGAGGACATGTTAAAACTCTGTTTAGTCAAAGTTAAACATGAAACGTCAAAGTTTATTACAAGTGGCCCTTCAAGGGCCACCATAACGCTCATGTGGCCCTCTGTGAAAACGAGTTTGACACCCCTGTAGTAGTCCATGTATTACCTTTTACATATAAAAACAAGCCTATGATTGTTTCTAACAGGTCATCCCACATGACTGTATCACTCCCAGTGATGTGTGTGTAGTTTTACAGTTAGAGATGAACCTGAGAGCTGAAGATAAACAGGATCAGTTATATGGAGATAGTGAGCAGAGGCATTCTTATCAAATACAGCTGTTGTTGTTTGTTTGTTTGTTTTTTTACATTGAGTGAAAAACAAAGCTCATTTTGAAAGTTAAACCCAACTGTAACAGAGCTAAGGTTATCGGGGGGGGGGTAGACTGGCCACTGCCAAACCTACTAAAAGAGGTTCTGTGACAGAGATGCTCCTGTCCTGGCCTGACAGGCCAAAACAGCCTGACCTGAACAGCAAAACCAAAGAAATGATTATTGACTTCAGGAAAAACAAAAATGCCTTCTCTCCTGTGTACATCAATTCAATTCAATTCAGTTTATTTATATAGCGCCAAGTCACAACATACGTTGTCTCAGGGCACTGTACATGAAAAGAATAATCTAAAGAAGAAACCAGCAGATTGTGTTGAATCACTTCATCACAGTCTCCCATCCTGAGCAAACYGTGGAGAGGAYAAADTCCCTGCTYATCAGGAAGAAACCTCCAGCAGAACCAGGCTCAGGYCAGGAGACCATCTGCCTCGACCGGCTGGTTGAGGGACAGGAAAGAGACACAATCAAACACAGAAGAACTGGTCCAGGTGCACCTACTTTTGGAAAATAGACAAAGAAAAACATATTATAGAAATAATTACAACAAACAAGCAGAGGAGAGAGACTAAAGACAACAGCAGAGTGAGGAAATGTGCTCAGTTTGTGCTCCAGCAGTCTAAGTCTATAGCAGCAGAAATGACGACTAATTCAGGAAACCCGAGTCTAACTATAGGATTTACGAAAAAGGAAAGTCTTCAGTCTAATCTTAAAAGTAGACAGAGTGTCAGCCTCATGGACAGAAACTGGAAGTTGGTTCCACAAGAGAGGAGCTTGATAACTGAAAGCTCTGCCTCCCATTCTACTTTTAGAGACTCCAGGAACCACAAGTAAACCTGCAGTCTGAGAGCGAAGTGCTCTGTTAGGAAAGTATGGAACAATAAGATGTTTAATATATGATGGAGCTTGGTTGTTAAGAGCTTTGTATGTTAGGAGTAATATTTTAAATTCTATTCTGAATTTGACAGGGAGCCAGTGGAGAGAAGCTAAAACTGGAGAAATATGATCTCTCCTTCCAACTCTCATTAAAACTCCAGCAGCAGCACTTTGGATACACATTCTCCTCTCGTCACTGAGGTCTCCATCCACATGACAGAGAGGGGAACGCAAAAATGACTCAGCCTGTAACTGAAAATATAGATGGAGGACCTCAGTTTAGCTAGCGCTGAGCTAATACCTGTAAGGCAATATAGCGTTGGCGCTAGTGCAAAGGCTAACAGGCTAAGCTGAGGTTCTTCTTCCATGAAGCAGCTCTGTTGTCCTCCATCCATATTTTCAGTTCCAGGCTGAGTCATTTCTACCTTCTCCTCTCTGTCAACGCTCTCTGGTTTCATTTAAAAGAGTCGATCATCAGATATTGTCCAAGATTAACCTTCAGGGTGGATATAGCTCGCTCACACCGAGAACCTATCCACGTCATCATTTACCCAGAATGCTTTGTGTGTAAATAAAATGGCTCTGTCCATGTTAATATACATTTTTATAAATTATAAAAACTAAACATCCTACAGTATTTTTACTGTCTTTATTTTACAGTTAAAATAAATGTTTATCAAAAAAAAGTCTAATGTTACAACTAATCGGGGATCCCTTTAAGAAAGCTCAGGCAATTTTAGCTGAGCCTAACCACCCCTTCTTCATAGAGTTTTCTGTTTTACCATCAGGACGCAGATTTGCTTTAAAAAGATGTCGAATCAACAGATTTGAGAATTCCTTTTTACCTGCTGTTATCGTCATTTTAAATACCTCTTGTTGATTGTTGTGTGTTTGTAGTAGACATGTCTATACCATGGTGGTTTTTATGGTATTTACTGTATTTATGGTTGATGAATGTTTTTTCTGCTGGCTGTGACACAAATTGTCCCAAGAGGATATTAAAGATAAGTTGAAGCCCTCAGAATCTATGGGCTGTTGTCAGGAGAAGGTAAGAGACGAAACCCAACACTGCAGTGGCTGCCAACTTTTAAAATGACTTCCACATTTTATTATCAATGTTGTAACTAAAATTGATAAAAAGTAGTGTTAAGTCTGGAAATAAGTTTGCTAATAAAATAATTTTAAATACTTAAAATAAACAGATGAATGTGTTAGTCACATTTTGTGATAATACAAAGAAAACAACATGTTTAAGCCACTCTGATCTGTAGTTTTAAAAATGTATTTCAGTGTTTGTGTGGGCAGCCACAGCCTAATGATGTCATAGCCCCACCTCTAACCTGGAGGGTACTGCTGAAGTATTGAGGACATCATTTACATGTTGCTTTAACCCTGATGTTCTTTTGTGTTTCAGTACTTGGTGAACTGTGACAAGGTCCCATCACTGCCCACCATCATCTTCAACATCGGGGGGCAGACCTACAGTCTGACTGGACAGGACTACATCCTTAAAGTGAGTCTGAGGGTCACCCAGCAGGGGGCAGCAATGTGCCAGCTTCTGCAGGAACAAAAACCACTCTATTGCATCATTAAAACAGAACAAGAACAGCTTGGTTTTGGCTTGGCAGACTCAGGTTTGTCTGAGGAGGGAGAACTGATTGTGTTAAAGCCCAGTCAGGTCACACTAGCATGTTTTACACAACTTTATGTGACTTCTGCAAATTCTGTCCAATAAGTTGGTGAAAGTTGCACAAATTAGGTGTAAGTTTTGAATATGTTGCCAGCATGATGACCAGACAATAATTTTGTACTTGCTCAAAATGTTCAGCTCATGCTTAGTGAGGCTTCAGTCACAGCTATGCTACAGATAATTTATGCTCTGGTTCACAAGTTACACAAGTTATTCATTTGTTACTCACAGGTGGACATGTGTTCCAAACAAGCAGGGCAATTCTGAAGTGAACTGCCCTGATTAGCTTCACTTATTCACTTATTATTAACTAGTTTAACTTATTCATAACAAATATTATATATTTATAATAATGCAGGAAAACTATGCAAACAAAATCAACAGAATTGACGCCAGAAACGCTATTTATTTTTCATATCTTATCAATAAATGCATTGCTCTACAGTAGTGTCACAGTAAGGTTCCAGATAAAAACATGTTTACACATACAGTATCACCAGAACCTTGTTCAGACTCTTGTAATTCTGTCAGATTTAAATTTGGAGATACACTGCCTGGCCAAAAATAAAAGTCTCCACCAAAGAAAAAAAAAGGTCACTCGAATATTTCACTGAATCATCTTTAGCTTTGATTACAGCACATTCTCTGTGACATCGTTTGAATAATCTTCTGCAACGTGACCAGATTTATTTCCATCCAGTGTTGCATTAGTTTTCCACCAAGATCTTTTATTGATGATGGTAGAGTCTGACCTTCTCCAGCACATCCCAAAGATTCTCTGTGGAGCCAATCCATGTGTGAAAATGATGTCTCATGCTCCCTGAACCACTCTTTCACAATAAGAGCCCTGTGAATCCTGGCATTGTCATCTTGGAATATGGCGGTGCCATCAGGGAAGAAACAGTCATTGATGGAATAACCTGATCATTCAGTATATTCAGGTAGTCAGCTGACCTCATTCTTTGAGCACAGACTGTTGCTGAACCTGGACCTGACCACCTGCAGAGACCACATATCATATCACTGCCTCCACAGGCTGATGGGAGCATCCACCTGCCTCTCTTCTTACCCTGACGCCCCTTCACTCTGGAACAGGGTCAATCTGGACTCATCAGACCTTTCATTGGTCCAGAGTCCAACCTTTATGTTCTCTTTTTCCAGTTAGCCAATGATTTGACCCTTCTCAAACAGACTGACATCTTTTCCTCGACCCTAGGATGTGTCTTTCAACCTGGTTGTTTAAGACATGAAAAGTTGGGGTTAAGTAACTTGTAGCTCATGCAGTAATTGTCCAATAGGATGCTCGTACCTATTTGCTCACTTAAATCCAGGTGGCAGCTCTTTTCTTGGTCAGGCAGTGTATTTATGATTGATTACCATTATTGCAACCTGACTCTTTAACAGAAAAACAACATTGAGTTGTTGCAGAAAAAACAAAAACACACCTTAACGTTAATCCTGGTTAAAGATTCATGTTTTACTGTTGATGATAATCAACTCCCAACTTTAAAGCAACTTCCAGGTAGGTAAAGTGTGCAGCTGAGTTGAGGGGACTGCACCCTTTAGGAGGCTGATCAGACTGTCCCACAACAACCGTCCCATTAACGTCCCATTAGCACCCAGAACAGGCAGCTGTTGGCCCATGTTGCTGCAGCAGCCAGGGTCTGTGTCTGTAAGACCACCAGACTTGTCTACCCTCTGTGCTCCTGTTCACTCCAGCATCCAGCGGTGCACCGCTCCTGTCCTCTCAGGTGGTGGACATAAGTGGTCTAAGACATTATCGTGTGACAGGACCTTTAGATTTATTTATAAGATGAATGTTTTCATCTGATTGAGATTTTTCCTGCCTGTTTTTTGTAGGTGACTCAAGCTGGTAAGACTATGTGTCTCAGTGGCTTCATGGCTCTGGACATCCCCCCTCCTGCTGGGCCGCTGTGGATTCTGGGAGACGTGTTCATTGGTCAGTACTACACGGTGTTCGACCGTGACAACAACAGGGTGGGCTTCGCTCCATCCAAGTAACGTCATCCTGCGCCCGGCCCAGAAGCTCCTGATCTGAGCTGCTCCTGTTGCTGTGAGGAAATGTTTTTTTAGTAATAGAGTGTATAGAGTCACATGCACTGATCTGAGTGGGAATCATTTCTGACACTGTGCACAGATTTTGTGTACTGGCTGTAAAAACACTGAATCAGTCTGTTTTATTTTTAAAAGCAATAATTTCTTTTAAAGAAAATGGTCCTGCTGCTGTTTGTAAAAATGAGATTGGACTCAGTTAAACCTGGTTTTGAAGAAAGGACTAATCTGTTTTGTTTTTAAAGACAACTGTCACGCAGCAATGACAAAAAAAATCCCTTTAAAATCCCTTTTGCTTCTGTAAAATTCTGTATGTCTGAAGTAATGTTACAGGAGAGTTGTCATGATTATTTCTCACTTTTACTTTCTTGATTTCCACATAAATTTATCAGAACTCATACAGGACTGCCTGCATAGAACTTACTGTTTGATTCTCTTCCATCAGGAACTACAAGCTAACTAAACAAGCTATTTAAACAAGATTTAAAATAAAATTTAAATACAACTAAAAAAATCCTGTTATATTTCTTCATAGGTTGTTGCTGTAAAAGTTTGTTTGTTTTGGCTTTTTTTTTTGCGTGTGAAATGATCTCAGTGACTTCAGATTCATCAGATGACCATGCTGCTGCTTCTAATTCAATAATGTGAGATTTTCTTGACAAAAATTTCATTAAATTTTGATTCAAAAAGTTCACAAAGGGAAATACTTGTTTTTGCTCTTTTTGGTGTATTTTTAGTAACATTTAAAACTGCAGATAAGAGTTCAGAGAAAACTGAACGTAGCCTGAAAAACAAATCACCTAACAGGCTTGCGTGCATGTGTGCACGAGTGTGATTGACACTGGTAAGACACGCCTCCTGGCTCTGATTGGCTGTTTCTGACTGGACGCGGTGTGTTTTTGCACATGACTGTGGGACAACCAGAGGAGCTTTATTTGTTTTGTTTATTTACAGTTTATTTGTCTCATATTCTACCGTCAGGATATAGTGACAGATTTAACAAATATGTAAAAATACATTTTTATAAAGTTACCTTGAGCAGCTTTAATTTAGAGCAGATGTGCACAAACACTTTCCCTGAGAGGGCCAATCTAAGGGTTGTGGGCCAAATAAAGTAATATAATACATGAAATACAAATACTTCTTAAAGTTTTATTTTTTATGATAAAGCTAATAGCTAGGTTGCCCACACCTTGTTTTTTTCTGCCCCTAAACATGGAGAAAATTCAACATATGCTAGGGCAGCAAAGGCTCATGGGACTATTCCTAAATTAAAATGAGTATTTGTGGTCTTATAAGGTGTGCAGAACGTTTGGGCACCCTTGTTAATTTTCCTGATTTACCTTTATAAATCATTGATTGTTTGGATAAAAACAATCAGTTGAATATATCATATAGGGGACAAACACAGTGATATTTGAGAAGTGAAATGAAGTTTATATAATTTACAGAAAGTGTGCAATAATTGTTTAAACAAAATTAGGCAGGTGCATAAATTTGGGCACCATAAAAAACCTTAAATCAGTATTTAGTAGATCCTCCTTTCATAGAAATAACAGCCTCTAAACTCTTCCTACAGCTTCTAATGAGAGTCTGGATTGTGGCTGAAGGTATTTTAGACCHDTRTRSTTTACAAAACATCTCTAGTTCATTCAGGTTTGATGGTTTCCAACCACAGACAGCTNCATTGCACCTTCTCATGCGCCCTTCCATATCGTCACACTTCTTTTTGAGCCCATCGACTTCTTCTTTCAGTTCCAACACGGTGGTGCACAAAGTAACAACCTCATCGGACCAGTTTGATAAACCATCCTCCACTTCTTTAACGCTTTGCTTAACATGGTCCAGAACTGTGYGCAGTAGCATCGTGCCATTAGCCACCTCCGCTCTCAMCGATTGTAGCTCTCCTTTAATAAGAGTGAACTCTTCAGCCAAAGCCGCTTTTATTTCGGATTTGATCACAGCTGAGAGATCAGTTTTTATAGTGGCAAGAATGTCCGACTTCAAGGAGAGTGTGTCCGCCTCACTGCGGGAGGGAGAGGAGGGCGCCGAAGGTCCGGCTTTAGCTTTAGCTGCAGTCAGCTCCGAGGCGGCGTCAAGCCTAACAGTCGCAGAGCTAGAATGTTTGCCTTTTCTCGAGTTTGTCGCCWTTCTTCTACTCTTCCAGGCAAGAATCACTCAGGGGTCGAGTACAGACCAAACGCTCAAAACAGCAAGGACATTCGGTAGAGAACCACAAACAGAACAGTCAGAGCGGGAGCCCACGTGACACACGTCTTACTCCTCCGCCATCTTGCCCCCACCTTCCCAAATTTGAGCCAAATTTTTGTCTAAAAATGGCTGTGTTATGGTCAATTTTGCATCTTGGCTATGGCAGTCATCTTGGATTTTTGATTTGGCTTTTGTACATGATGGAGATCCTTCTTAGCTACAACCACACCAAATTTTAACTAAATGTTTTACCTTTTTTGTTTAAAAATGAGTCATTTCAATTTCAAATTAGCTCTGGCATCCATCTTGACAATTTATTTAGCATTCAAAATTTGTTGAAGCTTGTTCTTGGCTACAAGTATTATACTAGTCTTCAGTTCCGTGTCTTAAATTTACTGAATTAGTGCTTTTCTAAAAATTCGCATTAGCATTTAGCTTAAACTGATTAGCCTTCAAAATGTGATGAGTTAGCTCCACCCCACCAAATGTCAGCTTTGTACAGGTGCTGGTCATAAAATTAGAATATCAAGAAAAGGTTWTCTTATTTCAGTAATTCTATTCAAACAGTGAAACTTGTATTTTATATTCATTCATTACACACAGACATATATTTCAAACATTTATTTATTTTAATTCTGATGATTATAACTGACAACAAATGAAAATCTCAAATTCAGTATCAGAAAATCTGAAGATAACTTAAGACCAATATAAAAAAAGGATTTTCAGAAATGTTGGCCAATTGAAAAGTAGGAACATGATGTACAGCACTCAACACTTAGTTGGGGCTTTTTTGCCTGGATTACTGCAGCAATGCATTGTGGCATTGAGTGGATCAATCTATGACACTGCTCAGGTGTTATGGCTGTATCACACTGCAAGATTTTAAAACAGTCAAATGATTTTCAAAGACTGGGAGACCCCACATGAGGATAAAAAATTATGGATATACCAGGTTTGGTCCTACAGTGTGTGGTGTACAGTCACATAGCAAGAGACAACACACCACACAGATATTTCATTCATGAACATTCAGATATCAGATGTGAAATCACACTAGACTTCCTGAAATCACACGAGAATTCAGATGTGAGAGGAAAACTCTCACATGGCCTCCAGAGTGAGTTCTGAGTAAATAAACATTTGCGACAAGGAAGAAACAACACTGATCATTTGTGGACTATTTTTACCAGAGGAAAAACAATTTCATAGGACCTGTAACATCCAGCGCACTTTCTGGTGAGTCATGACAGGTTTTTTGTCCTCAGTATTTTGGATTCCCCTTCGTGTTTACGTCAATTCGCTTTCTGATTGGCTACACATCAAATTCAACAGACTGCGAGCTTAGGTGAACGCCACACACGGTGTGATGTCGGGCCAAAAAATCAAACATGTTGAATATCCCAGATTTGAGTTCGGAGCGGTCCCACGCCCTTCCGAGCTGACTAGATCACTCTTAACTCCCCACCCAGGCCAGGAATATCTTCTGAGATTATCTTTAGAGCCATCACGATAATCTGGACGTCCTTAAGATTGTCGAAGGGCCCAAATTTGGATCAATTATCCTGCCGTGTGACACAGCCCTTATGAGAGCCCAGGTTGCTCTGACAGTGGGCTTCAGCTCTTCTGAATTGCTGAGTCTGGTGTACGGCATCTTCCTCTTCACAACCTGATAGATTTTCTATGGGGTTGAGGTCAGGTGAGTTTGCTGGCCAATTAAGAACAGGGATACTATGGTCCTTAAACCAGGTACTGGTAGCTTTGGCACAGTGTGCAGGTGCCAAGTCCTGTTGGAAAATGAAATCTGCATCTCCATAAAGTTGGTCAGCAGCAGGAAGCATGAAGTGCTCTAAAACTTCCTGGTATGTGGCTGCGATGACCTTGGAACTCAGAAAACAGTGGACCAACAGCAGCAGATGACATGGCACCCCAAACCATCACTGACTGTGGAAACTTTACTCTGGACCTCAAGCAACGTGGATTATGTGCCTCTCCTCTCTTCCTCCAGACTCTGGGACCTTGATTTCCAAAGGAAATGCAAAATTTACTWTCATCAGAGAACATGACTTTGGACCACTCTGCAGCAGTCCAGTCYTTTTTGTCTTCAGCCCAGGTGAGACACTTCTGTTGCTGTCTCTTGATCAAGAGTGGCTTGACAAATAGAATGCGACAGCTGAAACCCATGTCTTCATACATCTGTGTGTGGTGGTTCTTGAAGCACTGAATCCAGCTGCTTTCCACTCTTTGTGAATCTCCCCYACATTTTTCAGTGGAGTTTGTTTCACAATCCTCTCCAGGGTGCAGTTATCCCTATTGATTGTACACTTTTTTCCTACCACATCGTTTCCTTCCCTTCACCTCTCTACTAATGTTCTTGAACACAGAGCTCTGTGAACAGCCAGCCTCTTTAGCAATGACCCTTTGTGTCTTGTCCTCCTGGTGCAAGGTGTCAATGGTCATATTTTGGACAACTGTCAAGTCAGCAGTCTTCCCCATGATTGTGTAGCCTATAGAACTAGACTGAGAGACCATTTAAAGGCCTATGCAGTTGTTGCAGACTTGTGACACCATCTTGTGCTATTCTCAAAGCATCTGATCAGTTCTACACTACTGCAGGCAGACATATTCCTGCAGGACCACAGCCAGTTCTCTGAAGCAGCACTGAACACCACCATGCAGGCTTACCTATTGCTGAACAGGACCAAGCTGAAGACTGAACTGATTCTCATTTACAGCATAGATGAGTTCAGGAGCTGAAGGCAAAGCTCTCCTGTCTGCTGCAGCCCCGAGGGGGCTGCAGCAGACAGGAGAGCTGCAGCAAGCGTGGAGACCACCATGGGAGCTGCAGCAGGTGTGAGGACCATCAGGGGAGCTGTGGCAGGCATGGAGACAATAGCAGGGGCTACATCAGTCCTGGATATCAGCCTAGGGGCTACATCAGAGCTGGAGACCACCTCAAAAGCTGCAGTGGGCTTGGAGACCACCTCAAATGCTGCAGCAGGCATAGACACCACCTCAGATGCTGCAGAGTAAAAAGAAAGGTTGTTGGAGACCCTCTCGGGAACACAGGAGAGATAGGCGTCAGAGACCCTCTCTGGCAAACAGGATCTGTCGACTCAGAAGAATGGGACCCTGTTGACTCTGGAGAACGGAGCCCTAAAGACTGTGGATAGCGGGGCCCTGAAGAAACTGCCTTCTTTTGGTGGCAACATCACCCACCAAAGCCGTAGGACGGCTGTGCTGGAGAGGACTCAGGAGACCTGGGAACAGCCTATGCAGGACATCCCAGACCCTTCAAACTGACCAACTCACTTCGCAGCTGTCAGAAAAACTGCTTAACTTCAAGGAGCCTCAGGCACATGGTGAATCTCAAAAAATGAGGCTTGCACAAGAAGACCTTAGTTGTAAGTAATGGCAAACTTTGCAGGACAGAGCAATAGCCTCTGAGCTGTCTGATGATTATACAAAGGTCCTCGGATAGCT